TTGGGTATTTTAACATTTTTTTAATAAAATGAATTAATCCTCTTTTGACTCTTTTGATCAGCAAGATCATAACTCTTTATTTACATGGCTTAGTCTAGTGGAAGTAATTTTACCTTTAGGAATGCAGGGTCTGTCAGCCCTGGGATTTATTCCATGCTGTGTTATGTCTTGCTTCTGTTTGATGTTCTCTTTAAATGCACTGGAGCACACTTGCATGTTTGRACATGCCATACTCTTCTCATGSTGCTGAAATAATGGAGCATGTCTGTAAAGTGGGATATGTTAAATGAAAGTGAAGTAAAATTATAAGGATTTCTGTGCTCCAGTTGTGGTGCATTTGATTTTACTTCATTTTTAGTCTCTGACATCCAGCTTCCTGATACAATTTTAAAGCTTTTATTCATCTTGAGCATTTCAAGCTGTAGGCTGCCAGTGTTCGTTGCTGCAGCAAGAAGGGCTTGCATGTGAAAGAAATCATTTGGGTCTTTGCACTATGCCTTTTCTTCATTGTTCATGACCCTTGAGCAATCTTACACTTTTTAATGCATTACTGTGAGTTGAATTTGCTTCCCATACCCTTAGCTGAGTTCCAGAAGTCCAAGCAAGTGAAGGTCAGGGACAGAGCTTGACAAAGAGAAATAAAGTGGAAGAAAATGAAAAMCACTTACCAGTGGCAGCAGCAAAGTGTTCATGAAACAGCACTGTTGAGTACATTTTACTCCTCTGYAAAAGTCCCTTAGATTGAGAGGAGCTTCTGTCCTGGAAGAGTTACCTGGACTTGAGCGTGTTATAACGGTGTTTTGCAACACATTTGAGACACCAGTGTGTGATGCCTAATTGTGCTGATACCCAGGATGTGTTATTTATCRTAATACTGAGAAAACTTTTAGAAGTGTTGAGAAGCTAGGAGTTTGTAGTTAGAGTTCACTGGAAATTCTTCTTGCTTCAGATCTTGACCAAAGTTGGATACCTTATTGTAGATTAGATTTCTGGTTTCCATTTGAGTCTTTCTGTCCAAAAGACTTGAAATATATTTGTGGTCTGATACTTTGCATCACTAGAGGCCTGTCCATAAGAAAGAGTTCCTGATAGCTCCCGTTTTGCTCCTAAGTGGCAGTGGTCTATGCATGCAAATCGCTCTGTGAATATGGTGAAGGCCTTTTGTTCTGTCTAGTTATGGCTAAAGCCTTGAGGGAGGATTTAACAGTTAAGGTGACCTAGTACCTATACAGATTAAAGGCTCTTCTGTTAAAAGTGTTACTGGTCCTGCAAGTGTAGTTTCAGAATCCCACGTGTTCTGAAAGAAGATGCACAAGTTGGCTTACAATTTGGAAGCAGGTTTGTAAATCACCCTATGCTTATTACAACACAGAGACCAGGCTGCACCTATAGAAGTTCACTGTCACTCCTGTGCCCTAGGGTAGCTAACTCAAGTTGATTGTACTGTAATGAGGTTAAGTGTGGGGTCAGGAGGAGGGAAGATGACTCACAGTATTGGTATCCAGAGCACATCTTCACCTATCAGGAGCTTCCAGATTCTCACACTGTTGTCCTGCAGTCTTTTGGAAGKGAACTTGCATGTACTGAAGTACCACTGTAGGAATTTTCATTTCTTACATTTCACTGACATTTTTTTTTGCAGTTTTAGTTTGAAAGTGACCTTACAGGACTCTGGGGTTTGTGTAGACTAATACTGTGTGTGACGCTTTATCTCTACCTATCAAAGTGTGTTGGCAGCAGATAGTGTGCAAAGGGTAGCGTGTCGTCTCGTCTCTCCGTTCATTTGGTGACAGCAAGAGCTTTGAAGGCAACTTCTGTCCTCTACCTGTGCCTTAAGCCCATAATGTTGTCAGAAAAACTTCTTAAAATAAAATTTTCTGGAAAAAAAGGAGTATTAGAATTTTACTGGAAATTAACAATTTCCAAAACAGGTAAATTGTTTTGAAGGAAAACACATTTTTTTAATGTCTGCTTTTTTCTTTTCTTTTTTTCTTCTTCAGGGTCTTTTTTTTTTTTTCCCTGAAATGGATGTTTGAATAGCATGGAATTCACAAGTGTTTTCTGTTTTGTCTCTAGTTAACTAGTGTAAAAAGCTTTTTTTTCTCTAAGATTATTGTTTTTTACTTAGCCATGAGAGGTTGTTATGAGAGCTTAGATAATGTGTAATGCATGATAGCTACTGGGTTTATTTGGGTTTGGGGTTTTTTATCATGAAAATAACACTTTGGGTTACAACTTATGGTTTCTCATTATTTGTAAGATGTTAATATACCTTACTTTAAATACTTGAATTTAGAATCTGTAATAAATATTTTAAAATACTTTTTTAATACTTCTCGATAGTGTTGATTCTAAGATTTCGTGGAAAATACTGAAGGGCAATTAGGTCATATTTTTAGATCAACACATGCTTTCTTGGAAAACAGTAAAAAGCTGGCTTCTGATTGCTACTTAGCAGACTTCCTCTTCAGGGTTGTGGTGTGTTCATGTTCCCATTACAGTGTGCTTGTAACAAAACCCGGAACCACACCCCATTGTATTACTCTGAATTCACTCTTCTTGTAGTTGATGGGATTTCTCCCCATGTTGATCTCCTCAGTGTAAGCAGCTGGTTGCTAGAATGTATGTGATAGACCCCCAATTTCCGTCAGGCAGGAAGAACTATCTTTTGGCTAATGAGAAGTTAAGAGGCATGTAATGTAGCCCAAGTGTTCAGGTAGGTCCCTTCCACCTTAGTRGAACTGAGATGAACTGAAGCCTAAATAAAGTTTTGGTAAGTAAAGTAAACTAAGTATTGGTTGCTGCTCTGTTGTCTTTGTTGGGGATGTGCAGAATGGAATATTACATTTGCATCTCTTCTAAAAGAGCAGAAGGGGAGGTTGTCATGCAAAACAAAGGGCTTCTTAGCAGCCTTAGTCCACATAGATCAAAAAACAAGGCAGCAGCAATAGCAATCTCCATGTCCTATATTTACCACAAAGGCAGACCATAACTAGGTGATTACTTTCAGGCTATGGATCTTTTGTCCTTGGATCCTTTTAGAGCAGCATGTCACTGTGAGCCACAGCTTCAGCTGTGATTGTGAATCTGACTCTTGGCTTATTCTTTTCTATTCCCTACTGTTCAGCACACAGAAGTAATGAAAATGCTTTTAAGTAGAAGGCGGCTTGTGTGTCAGGCAGTTACTGAAAGTCATTCTATGTTTTGATCCTGCCATTTTTCGGCAGCTCTTTTGAGACAGCTGTTGTTAAATTTTCAAACTTCTTTTTAAACATTTGCCTGCTGCAAGAAAGTTTTTTGGAAAAAGTGTACCTGTAACTTGTACTGCAGCCCAAAAGGTATACAAAGTTTGATAGTACAAAAGTAGTAACCATAATTTGAAATCATAGCAACTTTGAATGAAGAGGGTGTCAAGGAGAGCTTTTTCATATTGCTTACAATCTATGGCTCAAAGAAAATGAGAAATTCTGTCTCAGTGCTATGACAGACAATGCAAAGTACACTAAGCTCCCCGGTGCTTCACTGAAAAATTGCATAGTGATGGAATTTGGTGGTAACCTCAGCATGTTGTTACTAAGGCGTCATCTTGCCCTTATCAATTTTATCCATCCATGAAGAAGGTTAGCCCAAATTCAGGAATCCAGGAAGACATTACTCTTTATAGAACCTTTGTCATTAAGAGAGTTCTTAGAAATCCTTGATCAGGAAGCTGCTAATACATAGCATCTCAAAATACTTTTGTAGGAATTGATTGTGTAAATGTCTCTTTGCACACTGGCTTGGGAGTATTTAGTGAGAATGAAAACAGAGATGCTACCCTTGCTGTATAAATGCAATTCAAGGAAAAGTCTGAATGATGTGATAGCAAAGTGARCTCTGAACTCTCAGTTTTTTAAACTGTGGTCAAAAAAGACCTTTGATTTAGGCATAAATACAAGAAATAGTTTAGTAGTATTACAAATTCCAGTTTTGTTTGTAACGCTGTTCTAGTTTTTACTAAATTTTCTTCTGAAAGATTGTGGATGATGGTTATTAGCTGGTTACCATTTGTAGAGTCTCTGATCCTACTCCTCATCTGTCAGATCACCTTTTTACATTAATACTCTTYGTCTTAATGTTTCCCTATAAAAAGAAATTACTCCAAGTAGGCTGAAACTTGGCCTTTAATTTATTTTYAAGGATGTGAAGAGAACTGGTTAACAAAAATGTGATTCACCATAGAAACAGCTCAGCCAATAGTATTATGTAGTAAATTAACTGTTCCACGATACTTTCATATTTAATACAGAACATAGCAACAGGATGATAGCTTGACAACAATAGCAGCTGAATATATTCTTTTCCTTTTTTTGAAAGAATGTTCTTGTGGGAAAAAATAGATTCCTTGGAAAGTAATTTATATTACAAGTTTCATCACAAAAATTCTGTGGGTGGGTGCAATAGCGTAGAAATTAAATTAGAGATTTGTATAATAAATGATAGGTTTGATTTGATGTGGCGCTTCTASTCTCTTACAAGTGACATAGCTACAGGCAATAGAATAATCTCTTCCCCTTGTGAAGATAAATGTTGTATCAGACCAAACCATCTTATATTAAATTACAACTTCCCTTTTTTTTTCCATATGAAAAGATTCATGAGACTCTTCGTTAAATAATAGCATGACCCGATTATAAGGGTACTTTGGCCAAAATGTCTTTAGGATATTTTCTACTATCAGGCATGTGATTAATTTATATGGGGAACTGGCATAACAGACTTGATCGGAATGAAGGAATTTTCCTTTATGCAGCATGTGGCATGGTTGTGGCAATACTGAGCTAGAAGGTACTTTCCTTATCTCAATTCAATTGAAACCCCCAAACTGAAATGAAGTATGATAAGAGGAATCTGGTAAGAAGGCAGCTTGACTGTCTTTCTTGCAGGGAAGACATTTATAGTATGTATGGCTCTGATACARTTTGACTGTGCTCAGACGATTGTTTTTTGTGTTTTGACAGAGAAAAGGAGCAAGAAAGGGAAGAACAGTTAATGGAAGACAAGAAAAGGAAGAAGGAGGATAAGAAAAAGAAGGACTCTGCTCAGAAGGTGGGTTTTGATATTTGAATTCTTTTATCCAGCTGAAACATAAATAGTATTGGAGGTAATAAGATGTTAAATGGTTTGTATTTGAACTTAAAAATTGATTGTTTAGAGTAATGCATCTTTAAAGACACTTTTTTGCATCATTTTTCTAGGGTGGAAGTGTTTAACTTGGACATTTCTTCTCCTTAGTGTCTTACGTAAAGTAAAATAAGTTTTTTATATCAAATATTTAACTTAATACGACTTCTTTTGATCTCTCTCTATGCAACTGCTGCTCGTTTGAGTTGTTTGCAGATGGAAATACTGATGGGCTTTTGCAGTTCTTGCAGTGAAGTTGAATAAATATTTTCTAGAGCAAGAAGATCCTTTTTGGTTGGTTTTTCTTAATTACTTAAGAAAGTTTAATGAAATATTTACTACTGAAGATTATGGGGTTTTTTTGCCAAGTATCACCTATATTTTACATTTTCTGTAGCTAGTATCACTTTTGCTGAAGTATATCAGTTCAAGTCTGAATTGTGAAGAAATGGTAAGTCACCGAAAATTGGTTCTGCTCAGAAAACAAGTTTGAAACTTGGTGTGTTAGGTCTCTGTTTTGCAAAAAAAAAATCTGTTAGGTTGTGCTAGGCATTAACCCAATGTATGAACCTGATAACCTGACATATGAACTGGAGTATTTTACTGGTAAAATCCTTTCCAGGCTTCCCAGTACGAGATAGGTGCAACCACCCTAGAGCAAGTCCAGCAAAAAGCCTGTAAGATGATTACCGGACTGGAGGATCTGACAAATGAGGAGAGGCTGGGAGCATTAGGGCTGTTCATCCTGGAGGAGAGAAGGCTTGGGAGATCTCAYCAATGTATATAAATACTTTGTTGAAGGGAGTAAGCAGATGGAGGCACTCTTCCACTGTGTCCATTGGCAAGGCATTGTGCATAYATTGAAAGTCTACTTAACCATTAAAAGACTCTTTTTTTGTGTATGTGACCAGGCAACCACTGGAACAGGTTTACCAGAGAGGTTGTGGTGCCTCTGTCTTTGAMGATGCTCAGAACTGAGTGGGATGTGGCTCTGTGCAATCCAGTTTTGATGATTTTGTTTTGAACTGAGTAGACTCTTGGGGCCAAGTGGGGGACAAGGGTGGGAACAGTGGATTGGATTAGGTTAGAGGCTGTCCCTTCCAACCTCAATGATAGTGTGGATTTTTCTTTCAGCAGCCTGTTTTTCAGTTGCCTCAGGAACAGCACATCCTATGAACAGTAAACAGGGTTTACTCTTTAARATTCTGTGGCTTTCTGCTGACAATAGACAGCACCAATTTCAGTTAAATTTTGTCTTAACCAGGATCATTTTAAATTTGGCTTTTTGCCAATATGAGTCTTACAAATTTAAATTAGGTGCAGATACATGTGTTTCCGTTATCTTCATCCAGTTGATACATCCCCAAACAGTGCAAAAGAGCAGTAGCTATAGTGTAAGGTCTCTCCAGTGTCTTCTTGCCTCAGYGTTGGTGCTATTTAATGTTCAAGTACAAAAAGTGCATATGGGAACCAGGAGGAGCACACCCTTATGAATAAAGAATRCAGACTTGAAGATTATGTGCTGCTATTCAATGATAAAAGGGAAACTTGAAAAGGTTGTACTGATCATCCTGATAACAGTGATGTGTTTACTGAGGAATTGGTGCTTTGAATACAAAAGATACTTGCCAGCTTTTCTATGTGGTCTCTCACCTACTGACTTGCTCAGTACATATTCTGCCAAACTCTCAGGAAGGGTAAAGTCTACATAAATGTGCATGTTCATTCCTAGTGACTGTGGAGGTGTTCACCAAATAAGCAGTAATGATTTCAGGTACCATTTTCAAACTACATTTGTTTAACAAGAAACAAATGTTATTACTGGAAGATAATCTGAAACTTAAAAGTTATACAAGCAAGTTCACAGCTTAAATATACTTGTGGTCGGTGTCCAGTGGGCTGTTTGGTAGCTTGTCAGTATGCTGACCTTTATTTCCACCTCTGTGTTCACTGTAGCTGCTCTCACACTGCCAATGCCCATAGGTTGCCCACAGAGAGATTACARCTATAAGTCTGAGACACTATCACACTTTTTCAGCTTTTGAATTTTAGACAAAAACAATCACAAAACGAGATCATTTTGACTAGGAGAGAAAGACTGTAGTCAGGCAGAAGTTTGGGGTTTTTTTTCATCTAAAGCAATTGGCATTTATTATGTAGAATTCTTCAAAGATTCGGTATTTTTTTCCAAATAGACAAGTTACTAGTTTACTAAACATGTCTACTGTTGACTATAGTAAACTTAGCAGCATTACCAGATTGTATTAATGAATTTCAGTGAATGTTCCACTTTGCATATTGCAGTTTTCATCTTTGCAAAATAAATGATGCCATAGCAATTCACTGCTGTTTGTCTTTTTATTCTTTGCCATACAGAGGAGTTCTGGCTTGGTTAGGTTCAACAATAAATGGCTTTTTACTTGTGCTTTCATTATTCTATGCTGTTGCTGTGTGCTTTCCAGAATTATGGACTAGTTCAGCAATTTCTTGTAAGAATAGGTGTCGTAGAACCTGACACATGATGATCTTTAGGGCTTTTTCGTTGTTGTGTAGTGGAGCTCATTATGGACAGGTTCAAAAAATGCTACAATGCACATGATTCTAGAGAATATACCAGTGATATGTTTGTTGCTACTGTGGCTTGAAATCTGCTATGCTGAAACAATGTAGGATACAGCAAAACCCAAATTGAGTATGCTGGCCAGCATGAGTGCTCATTTCAGTCATTAACTTCTGGTCGCAATCAGTAGATTTCCTTTATAGGTGTTGCTGGTACTTTGTAATTGTGGAAATGAATCCACGTTAGAATTATTTCTCACATTAGCATTAGAATTACTTCTCCTTGGAAGAGATGCAATGGGAAAAGGTGAAATGGGAAGATGTCTGAGAGACAGCCTGCTGTGCTTACTTCAGGCCCCAACAGTCCGCTGTAAGGATTTTCTCATAGGCTTTGTTACACTGTAAATACAATACTTCACCTCCAAAATCTGAGAGAACTATAATGCTCTAGCAGATGTTTAAATGTGCTTTGGAAGCCCTTGTTTGGGATGAGGAGGAGGTTTGAATACTTAAATTATCATGAGGGAAGTAATGATTGTTTCTGCCGGAGGCTTTTGCATTAGGCAAAGTTATTACAGGAGTTACAGTACTTTTGGAAACTTAGTAGAGATGTGTATTTATAACTAGGAATACTACTGTAGTTCATCAGTTGCTTATTTTTATTTAACAGCAAATTCTGGTTTTGTGATAAAATATTAAGGTTGTGATTTAGCACAACCTGTTCAATGTTTGTTTTGAGCTTCTTAAAACTCTTGTGCTTAATTTGCAGGTCACAGATCAAAAAACCAAAGGTAAGAGTCTTTGATCCTAAGAAATACTTTCATTGATTTGAGCCAAAATTCAGATCTTGATCAAAACTATTAGAAAAGGAAGCGGACTTAAGATGAAATACTGAGTATGAGTATTCAGCAGAAGTAAAAGTTGTGGTGATTAAAATGAAGAACCTGCAGTTATGCTGCTGATCTGTTGTCAGCAAAATATTGTTGTCTGCAAAATACTTGAAGAAAGAATGAGGATTGTGGATAAGGTGGGTTAGCTGAAATACTCAGTTTGCTGTTTTACAAAGGTTTTAGACAAGTAACCAAAGACTGAAACTACCTGTATAAAGATAATGAAAGACAGCAAAAGTACTGCTTATAGTGAGGTACCAAAATGAATGAAAATCACTTGGGTTTAGAAACTTAAATTCGGGGGCATAAAAGTCCAATAGATAAGGCAGGAATGATGAGTGACCATCTTGAAAATTGAACTAAACTTAGCTGATGTAAAAATATGTTTAATTTTTCAAAATAATGTAATTTTTTTAATAAAAAAATATTTTGTATTAAGTTTTGTATCAGTTTTTGATAAATTGTGTGGGGAAATTGCCATTATTGAAAGAAAATGACTGAGATAGTAACTTGTTTTTATGGCTACCAACACCTTTTTGGAAGTTGGGGAATGAAGTCTGTATAGAGAAATGGGAAAACTCTTCTAAWAACAGAATGTGGAGAACAATGCATTCATGTTGCCAAAGAGAGACCCTCTTATGTCGATCTCACATTTGTAAAGGTTTTACTGAGCATGCTTAGTTCATCTTGAGTCTCTTAATCAAATTTTATGGTGGTGTTAGCTCCTCCTTTGCTTATAGGGGCACCTGGTGACCAGTGGGGAAACCTAAAGAGACCAAATACAGTTGYTCCATGTAGAACTGCCTTTTGTGTTAGTCAGCTATTGCTGCCTTGCTTAAGAGCAGCACAGAGARCTCAGATTTGTTAATTCTGAATCCAAGAGGAGGTGGGTTATTTCTCCTTTTTTTGTTTGTTTAGGCAGTGGTTGTGTAGCGTAGTAAACAGGTGAAAACTTGGGTTCTGATTTCACATCTCCCATAAAGTTGATGCATAACAATCTGAAAGCCAGTTGAAGATCAGGAAGGTGGAGTCACTTATATTTGACTGCTCATATTTTAAAATTGCTCATTGTCTGGGGTGAACTCTTTGTCAACTTACCATTTGCAAGAAATTTTGGGCTTAGAGCAAAATACTTGATGAGGGCAGAGTTTCATCCTGGGCTACACAGTTGTACATGGAAGCAAAAGGTCTGCTGCTACTGCTTGTTCCTGCTTCCTTATTTAAATTGTTCTTGGTTGTTGAGAAGGTGGAAGCTGCACAGTATTTCAGAAAAGAATTAAATAATGAAAAGAGTGACTGTGAGTTCTTGTAGCTGACACAGGTTTAAGTGGAAAAACTTCTGATTTTCATTCTTCCTGTTTTTCAGTGCCCGAAGTGACGAAACCAAGTTTAAGCCAACCAGTGGCTGCCAGCCCAATTGGCAACTCTCCATCGCCACCAGTCAATGGTGGCAACAATGCCAAAAGGGTGGCAGTGCCGAACGGACAACCGCCAAGCGCCGCCCGCTACATGCCTCGGGAGGTGCCGCCGCGATTCCGTTGCCAGCAGGACCACAAAGTGTTACTGAAACGTGGGCAGCCCCCTCCTCCATCCTGTATGCTCCTTGGGGGTGGAGCAGGGCCTCCCTCCCCAGCAGCACCAGGAGCAAACCCAAACAACGCACAAACAGTGACAGCACTGCTGCAGAGCGACAGTGGGACTGCAACAGGCAAGTGATGATGATAAATAATATTAAATGAATGTGTTGGTGCATGGCAGCAAAGGGATGGCTGAAATGATGCATAAGTGTGTCCTTATATAAAAAAACTTCTCAGATTGCATTTGGAGAGCTTCTACTCTTCCAGTGTGCAGGCTTCTGTTGGCAGCAGTGGATATATTTTTTACTACTAGATGGAAGAAAGAGGTTTAATCTTTTTCAAGTATGTTTTGAGTGGTTTTAATTGGTTGCTGAAATGCTCTGCAGCAAAGTAAACAGAATGCATAAAATATGATTGTCACTGAGTAATTTTTCAGTTCACTGAGTGGCACTTTAGGTTTCTTTGACATGAATTTCCTGTCTTGTCACATTTTTGTATCATCTGGTAAAATAGACATGTARATGCCATGTCCGTAAAGGGCAGGTGTCTGTCACATCTTGTCTGGATGAAACAGAAAATGACCTATTGCTCCTGCCTTTTTTTCCCCTTTTTTCTTTGTTAGTAATTTTTTTTTTCTACTTAGATAAGCCTTTTGTACAAGTGACAACTGTTTCATTTTTACTTTCCTATTCATTTTGTATTCCAGGATGTAAATTGATTTTAGGATTATTGATTTTATGAGCTTGGGGAAGTTATAGCTGCTCCTGAATTTTTTAGATCTTTGGTGAATTGTAGTAGCTGTAATATTTCTTCTTAAATTATAGTAGAACAGACAAAATTCCAATCAAGATATCTGCCTTCTAAAGACTTCAGTGACCTGGAAAGTCAAGGACAACTTCAATTCTAACAATCAGGATGTTTTTTAAAAAAGAAATATTTAATACTTGAAAGAAAAAAAGAAGTAACAATACCAGTATGTCTGAGTTTGTCTTTGAAAATCATGTCAGATCAATGGCGTGATGATTTTCTTATTACCATCCTGGAAATCATAAACATTTTTAAATCTGTGTGGTTTGGAATTGAAAACAGGTGAATTCTACAGAATCAAATAAGCTAGATGGAATGGCTGTCCTTATTAGAAAGGGTTCTAGGAAAATTAATAATTCCATTTGTTTTGTGGTCTCCCCTCACTACTTGAATTTATTTGTAACAAATCCCTGTTTGACAGATTTATCTMATCTTTGATGATTGCTGTTTAACAAAGGAGAAAGTGAATGTCAAACTACAGTGGCAAAAYCTTAACTAATTATTGTCTTAGAGAGAACTGATTTTGATAAAACACCTGAAACAAAGCATGACCCGAAGTCTTTTGTTCCTATATAAAATCCTAGCACTGGGATACCTTCACAGTTACTGTAGTAGATTTGACTAATGAGAATTTGTGGTAGCAAAGTGCTCTCTAAAAGTTTTCAGCACTTCATGAGCAGCATTTCTTTGCTGTTGGGTGTGCTATAGGAGGACCATTTTGAAGTATTTGAGCTGCTCCTTAAGTTCTGTGTAATTATTTGACATCTAATATTTGGTTTTCTGAGGCCGAAATTTGCTACTATGAATTATCATATTTTTAAACTTTGTTTACTTGTGCATTAAACTAAGATGTTACGTGGCTGTATTAGGCCAGTGGTTAGTTGCATTATCCTGACACAAGTCAGGAGAACCAAGAAACATATTTGAGACCTGCCTCACCCCGTCCATTTTTCTTCACTGTAAAAGTTAACTGGACTAGGGAGCTGACTTGTATTAAAATTAAATTAAGTTAGGTTTTAAAGCTAATTTCAGTCTGGATGGTATTACCCATTCACCTATGTCAGTGAGAACATACCTGCTAGCCTGTGAGAGTAGGTGTGCCAGAGGAGTGGGAATGTGCAGGTGGCCAAGAAAARGACCACATCTGTCCTTAGGTGTTCCATGTAAGTGTTTGTGGAAGTGTGCTGTTGTTATCTGCCTTGTACATGATTTATCCCACCTCAGATTTGGCTGTTGACAAACTGAGCTTTAGTTTAGGCCCAATTCAGTCAAGCATATAGGCCCTGATACTGTGGTTGAGTCATGCCACATGACAGGAAACAAAAGCCTGTTCCCAAAGGGGAAGATAATGCAACTTACTTGTTCACATTCTTATATTCATCAGATGATCATAAGTGGTATGGGTGAGGATTTAATATTAAAAGCAAACACATAATTCTTCTYGACATTGACCTTTTTCGATGAGGATTGAAATCCTTCTGGCAAAATTAGTGCCCTGAAAGATGACGCCAAGTATTCTATTGTCTCATACCAGTATAGGGAATTGAGATGATGGGTGTTCTGTGCAATTCTTCTAATACCAGTGATAATTCAGAACATACAAGACGTTTTTGGACAACAAGGTTTGAATTTTATTGGTGCAAGTCTTTCAATAATTAAGATTATTGGCACTGTCAAATATAGCAAGGGAAAGCTGGTTTCATAAAACAATATATTAAACTATAAATACAAAATATATTGTATTAATATAACAATATATTAAATATATTAAACTCTTAGCATGCTGTATGTGAGCAAGCACCCCAGTCTTTAAACTTTTAGAATGTCTTCAGAATCTCAGTGAAGTCACATTCTCTGTTAAAGTCACCAATTTAAAGATATTGCTAAGTTCATAGCTGCCTGTTTATCATTCATTGGCTGAACAGTTTCTAAGTTCAAAAGACAGCAGCCTTGCAGTCTTTTGAGCTTGTCTTTGTCTGTCCTCCTTAAGCTCTTTCTGTGATCTGTCTAATCAGAAAGATTTTTAATTGGAAGAAAAAAGGGTTACTCTGTGCTAAAAGATGGACGGATAAAAATATCGGTGAAGTCATACTTCCTTGCTATTGTTCAATTTGCATTTGAAGTTAAAGCAACAGAAGGAACAAAATGTACTTGGGAACTGCTTGATCTTTTGAATCTTGGTGGCTGGGGTTTAGTGGGTGAAGACAAACTATTGCTCATCAATATTCAAAGCTTTACAAGGGAGTTGTAACATTGCTGTAAAGTCTGGATTTTTATTGGTGGGCCTCAGTGAAGGGGGATCCGGAAGATATTTGTTGGATGTCCACTGTTTAAGCTAATGAACTGAAAGCCTCAGACAAGCAGTGGAAGCTGATCTTCCAGTGATAGTGTTAGCAACCAGAAATGGTGATCTTTACTTTGGAATATATAATATAGGAATGGAGACTGGGAGGAGAGTTACTCAGTTTTTTGAGCTGTTGCCTTGTTTTCATGAAGCTGTCRTATGAGCCGGTACTGGTAGTAACAGTATATATTCAGTTATGAATTCTGCTGCAGCTGTTACTATGGAATTTACACTATAGCAAAATACGTGGGATAGCAGGCGTCAAAAATCTGATGTTCTKTACTTGTAAATAATACTGATTATTAATGACCTTTTTGGGTGTTTTGGGTTTTTCTTTTCTAGATTCAGCAATTGGAGGTGCTGCTGCTTCAAATTATGCAAATTCCACTTGGGGTCCTGGAGCCTCCTCCAACAGCGGCACCAACGCCAACCCAACTCACATCTGGGACAAGGTGATTGTAGACGGGTCTGACATGGAAGAGTGGCCTTGTATTGCCAGCAAAGATGCTGAGTCTTCTTCCGAAAACACCACCGATAACAACAGTGCCTCAAACCCTGGCTTGGAGAAGAATGCTCTGCCAGGAAGCACCACTAGTAACAAAGGAAAAGGAAGCCAGTGCCAGTCCGGAAGCGCTGGAAACGAATGTAATCTTGGGGCCTGGAAATCTGATTCCAAGGCTAAATCTGTTCAATCTTCCAACCCTGCTGCCGAGAGTAACAATGGACTAGGTAATTGGAGGAACTTGAGTGGACAAGATAGAATCAGTCCTGGTTCTGGCTTCAGCAACTTTAACCCAAATAGCAACCCATCTGCTTGGCCAGCACTGGTTCAAGAGGGCAATTCTAGGAAAGGGAGTCTGGAATCTGATAGTGGTAGCTCCAATGCACAGATTAGCACAGTAGGTCAGACCTCTAGGGAACAGCAGTCAAAGATGGAAAATGCGGGTGTTAATTTTGTCTCTGGCAGAGAACAGGCTCAACTTCATAACACTGATGGACCAAAAAATGGAAACACTAACTCCTTGAACTTAAGTTCACCAAACCCTATGGAGAATAAGGGAACGCCCTTTGAAATGGGCTTGGGGAACCCTTCCAGGAGCACTGACAACCCTTCTCAAAGCACTGGAGAAAGAAAGACTGGGAGTGTTGGATCTTGGAGTACAGCTAGGGGGTCTTCTGGAACTGACACAGTCTCTGGGCAGAGCAATTCTGGAAACCATGGGAACAATGGAAAGGATAGAGAGGACTCCTGGAAAGGAGCTTCTGTTCAAAAGCCTAATGGGTCAAGAAGTGATTCTTGGGATAACAATAACCGGTCTACGGGTGGTGGGTCTTGGAATTTTGGCCCTCARCATGCAAATGAAAGCAAATGGGGTGAAGGGAACAAATTAACATCTGGGGTCTCTCAGGGAGAATGGAAACAGCTGTCTGGGTCTGATGAACTGAAGATTGGAGAGTGGAGTGGTCCAAACCAACCAAATTCTAGCACTGGAGCATGGGACAATCAAAAAGGCCACCCTCTTCCTGAAAACCAAGGCAATTCCCAGGCTCCCTGTTGGGGAAGATCTTCCAGCTCTGCAGGAAGTGAGGTTGGAGGTCAAAGCACTGGAAGCAACCACAAAGCAGGAAGTAGTGACAGTCACAATTCTGGACGCCGATCGTACAGGCCTACACATCCTGATTGCCAGGCAGTCTTGCAGACTTTGCTGAGCAGGACTGACTTGGACCCCCGAGTGCTTTCAAACACCGGCTGGGGCCAGACTCAAATTAAGCAAGATACCGTATGGGATATAGAAGAGATGCCACGGCCCGAGGGGAAGTCTGATAAAGGAACTGAGGGGTGGGAGAGCTCTGCCACACAGACAAAGAACTCAGGGGGCTGGGGCGATGTACCCAGCCAAAGCAATCAAAACAAGTCTGGATGGGGTGAGCTCTCAACCCCAACGGAGTGGAAGGATCCCAAAACTACTGGAGGATGGAATGATTATAAGAATTCCAATTCTTCTAATTGGGGAGGAGGAAGGCAAGAAGAAAAATCATCTTCTTCTTGGAATGACAGCTCTACTAAGGAGCAGGGGTGGGGTGGACGGCAAACTAATCAAGGATGGTCTTCTGGAAAGAACGGTTGGGGAGAGGAAGTTGACCAAACAAAAAACAGCAACTGGGAAAGTGCAGGAAATAAGCCAGTGTCTGGTTGGGGTGAAGGTGGGCAGAATGAGATTGGAACTTGGGGTAATGGTGCAAATACAAGCTCTGCTTCAAAGGGTGGATGGGATGATTGTAAAAGAACTTCAACGTGGAATGAGACGGGTCGACAGCCCAACTCCTGGAACAAGCAGCAGCAACAGCASCAGCAGCAACAGCAGGAGTCTTCTGGTTCCTGGGGTCCACCGCCCCAAACTCCAGGTAATGGGCGACCTCCAAACCCAAACTGGAACAGCGGACCACAGCCAGCTGCCCCCAAAGAGGAGGAGCCTAGTGGCTGGGAAGAACCTTCTCCACAGTCAATCAGTCGAAAAATGGACATTGATGATGGCACTTCAGCATGGGGAGATCCTAGCAGTTACAACTACAAGAATGTGAATCTGTGGGACAAGAACTCACAAGGAGGACAGGCCCCACGGGAGCAGAGCCTGCCTACTCCGATGACTAGCAAATCACAAGCATCAGGTATTAGTCTTGTTCCTTTCTTCAAAAACCTCCTATATGTGACTGTGACCTTAATGTGTGAGAGAGATGCTTGTAGTCCCCATTTACTGATAGTTTTATTCCATAATATATAATATATTCTGTAATAATGTAATATATTCTATATATTCTACAATATATTCTTACTTGAATATTTGATTCTATATTTCAAGTGTSTTTGAAATTTGAATCAATCAGTCCTCTGCTTGTTTTGCCTCAGTAACTGTGATCTGAATACTTCCCAGTAAAAGAAAATGTTTGTGAAATGGCAAAGCTGCATATTCAATTTGAGCTCTGAAGAACAGGTTGAATTGCAGAATCAAAAACCTTTCACTCCAACCGTGAACTTAAAAAGCCCAGCATTGCTTAGTCCATGACTCAACCATGTTCCTCAGTGCAACATCTGCAGGTGTTTTAAATACCTATAGGGATGTTGACTCAGCCACTTACTTCCCTAGGCAACCTAGGGAAGTTCTAGTGCTGGACAATCGTTTTGGTGAAAAGCTTTTCCTAATACCCAGTTGAAACCTGCCCTGGTGCAACTTCAGGGCATTTCCTCTCGTCCTATTTCTTGTTACTTGGGAAAAGAGACTGCTCCCCACGTGGYTAGAGCCTCCTTTTATGTAGTTCTGGAGAGCAGTAAGGTCTCCCCTAAGCTTCCTTTTCTCTGGATTAAATAGCTTTTTTTTTGTATTATTAGAGAAATAGGGAGAAAATACTTATTTGTTTTTAGTCAAAAATAATTTGCATTGAAACAGTCAGTTAACACTTGAAATTGAGCAAGTCTGTGACTTAGTTTTTTAGTCAAGATTATCTTTGCTTTATGATAAAGAATAGTTAGAAAAATGTTTTCTTCTTTGGAATAAGGACAAGAAAAAGTTACATAGCCTGGAAATATGTTAAGATGTTAYTGTTATGAATTTTTTTCCTCTGACTCAAAGACACTTTAAAGAATGCTATCTTAGTTTAATATGTACTGCAAATATGTTCCATCTCTTTATTCAGTATTTTAAACCACTGAGTTAGATGCTTGTAATTAGTCACAGAAGTTCACAGATAGGAGGACAGCATTAGATGTGGGGTTCATGTTTAACCTGGGAGAAGAGTATTGTCGTAGTATTCTCTTCCTTTTCATTCCTGGAGGTCAGTGCCCACTTTAAATTTGTTATGAATGGTTGTCAATTCTGTTGCACCCACACTACTGAGAACCTAAAGTTCTCAACAAGAAGAACAAAGCGGTAGATGAGCGAGATGGGGCTGCAGTGCCCCAAAGAAAGTAAACATTTCTTTGTCTAAATGGTCTGTAATGAAAACCTCTTTCTCCTTTGTGCAGTCTGGAGCAAAAGCACTCCACCTGCTCCAGATAATGGTACGTCCGCTTGGGGTGAGCCAAATGAAACCAGTCCCGGGTGGGGTGAAGTAGATGATACAGGAGCATCGACTACAGGCTGGGGGAATGCACCTTCCAACGCCCCGAATGCCATGAAATCTAGTGAGTATAGGCCAGATACCAGTTTCTTTGCAATTACCCTGGAGATTTTAAGTGTTTGACCTTTTGACATAGGTCACCTGTGGCGGAGTTGTTATCTGAGGCCTAAAAGCAGTGTTGAATGTTATTGTAGGRTTTTGATGGATGAGTATTAAATGTTTGTAAATGACTGAAACTTTGTCTTTTAAGGTAGTAAAAACTTTCCTAACTAAGCAATTAAATGGGCAGCTCTGATTCTGGAAGTGCTGAAACACTCTGAGTAAGGAAATGTGTATTGTTCCCTTTCTCTGGCTGCCTGCTTGGTACATATTTTCTGATGGTACACTTTTTCTGATCATATCAGGAAAAGGAATGCACAGTATTGGCAAATTGCACTGTGGGGGTCCTTACACGATCATTCATGCTTTGATAATGCAACTTAGCTTTGAACGGATTTTTTTAATTGTGTGAGTAAAATTGTTACTCTTAAAAACTGCACTTTGTGATCAAACCTAAATGCCTTCAGCAGTGTCTTTCTTGAATGAGATGTTGAGGTACTTTGAAAATTTACCTCAGTTAAAATTTTGCTATTTTAAGAGGTTTTGTGGATATTATTCTTGATGATGTAAGCTATTTGTATAATTTTTATTTCAGTCTTTTAAAGGAAAAAAACAACACACAAACAAAAGCARTGTTATTGTCAAAGTCAGTAACATTTGGATATGAAGTTTACTATGGGAACTACTGATGATATACAAGTGTTTCTGAACTTGGTTGATGATGACCACTGAAAAACTGTTTCCAGCCCAGAAGTTGCTTTTGCAACATGGGATTGTTTGAACTGAAGTGCTGTGTAGATAATATGCTGATGGGTCATTCTCCTGTCCTCCCACYCCAATTAAATAATTTGGCCATTTCTGAAACAAAAAAGCTTTGATTCCTTAGTGTTACCATGATAGCAGGCTCTTGTGGATGACAGGCTTCCYGTGCCTGCCAAATAGACTTGGCAGTTTGAGGATGGTAAGCTGATTTTAGATGGATGTCTTCTTTTATCTATAAAAAGACACTTAAATATGACCAAAATAAGAACTTCTGAAATTGATCTATTGAAAATCCTGTTGATTTGTTAATGCTTAATACAGTCTTTTAAGACTCCACCTAGTTCCTCACTTATCCTGACTGATCTGAATGTATGCTCTAAGCGAAGAACTCCAATATGCATRTGCTGTTCTGTATGTAAGTTGTCCCCAGCTCTAGAGCAAAATCAGGACAGGATGCAGACTATCTGTGATTGGAAAAGAATCAGTTTGGAGCCAAAGAAGGAAGCATAGCTTATTATCCACATGTTTAAAAAAGTAAATTTACATAGTTCTACCAGCATTGCATAAGAATATTCTGGCAGAAGTAGGAATAAATTCAGTTTTCTGTAATACTGAGGGTTTTTTAATGTATTGAAAATTTCATTTTATGCTGTAGCTGTTGGTACCTCCTTAYKMAACTAATGCAAAAAACTAAGCAGGTGTCATACAGACAAGTCATCTTTACATCACTGTCCAGATTCATGTTCACAAATATTAGACCTGAGAGTTGTCAGTCAGAAAAATAATCATTATCATAGTATATTTTTAAGCACAATTTATTTTAAAAATAAATTAAAGCTGCAAGGACTGTCCAATATACCATTTCCAGATTACGTTCTTTGCTCTGCAGTCATAATCCTTAAATGTAGCCTTTTCTGTGTAAGTAGTGTGATTTAAGGGTCAAGAGGTAGATTTTTTTGCACTTTGACCAGTATGTTTCATAAGCCGTCCTCAGTTTTAGTACCTAAATTAATAGAATTTAAAAAGTGGTTTCCTGCGAAGTATCTGAGGGTTTATTTATGATGCATTTTGAGGTATCTCTTAATCCACCATAAAATGCTGTTGTACTTACATTCATTACAATCAGGGTAGAGATCCCYGTGATAGGTGAATTACAGTTCCTGKTTTTTTTTAATATTTAGACTTTCTACTATGTATGTTGATGTCCTTTTTTCCTGATTTCCATATTCATACCCCAGAAAATTAAAAGTATTAGTTATTACAAAAGTGATGATGATGATGATGATGATGATGATGATGATGATGATGGAAATTTTTCACAGAAGAAAAATGCAAAATAAATATGGGAATAAATATGCAGAATGAAGAGTTTTAGAGCAGGAAGAACAGTTGGATGAGGATTTGGGCTCCTGATGGCTTGTTAGTAAAGGTTCGAATTTCGTGTTGCATGGTAATGCTAGAGAGTAACAGCAAGAAAAGAAACCAGGAGGAAAAAGTCTAAACCAGTGAAGTGGTTGTAGCTTTCTGGTATACTTTAACAGCCCTGCTAATATGCCTCTTCAGGGACATTGTTAGGTGCAGAATTTCAAGTAGAGGATTTTTTTTTTTTGCATTAGACTACTTACAGTGTTGTTTGTACCAGAGGACAGTGTCAGGTCCTTGCCTTCAGATTCTRCTTAGATGTTGTTCGTAAAAATTGTTTGTTTCTGTAATTTTATGAAAGAGTGATGGGCAAGGGAAGTARTTAAGGTTTTGAAGTGAGAAAGAAAAAAAAATTACAAACTTCCTGAACCAGAGTCTTCAGCATCCCTGGTTTTTGAGTATGCTTTGAAGGCTTTCATTTGCACTTGAAAATAAGACCTTGCCTTTTAAATGCAGCTGTATCTGTATAAGAGGTCTCTATTGTTATTATATCTTTAAAGGTTTGACATTTCTTTAAAATAATTGCAAAACATGACATGCGAACATGCCACCAAATCTCTTGGGTTTTGGGATTCATGCACAAGTTTTTACAGCTGTTAGAGTGAAGACACATTTTTGAATTTTTTATTTTTTTTAGTTCCTTTGGGATTCTGATGATCTCAGCTAATCTTGCAGTGTCACATCACCARCTGCATGGTACTGTAGACTACTTTTGAGCTTTTTTTCTTTTTCTAAAGGTTCTAAATCTATGCAAGATGGCTGGGGAGAGAGTGATGGGCCAGTGACAGGAACACGTCATTCCAGCTGGGAAGAGGAGGAGGAGGGAGGAGTCTGGAACACAGCAGGCTCTCAGGGAAGCAATTCCTCCCACAACTCAACAAGCTGGGGGCAAGGAGGAAAGAAAACACAAATGAAGGTAAAATGCTTGAATGATTCATAACTACTGTGTTGTCTGAAAACCGTCTAAGTGATATGTTAGWGCATTATGTAGTTACTTTTTTAAGAAGGTTTTGCAGAGTTACRGAAAGGTGCCTCTTAAAATTGTATAAAAAAAAAGGAGGATTTTGGATTTGCTTTGATATATTACACCTGTTATGACTAATAAATCTTCCAGTAGGTGTCAAGTTACTTTGATTTGTAAGCTGAAGAGCCATTAATGAATGAAAATAAGTATCCCAAGACTATTTCTCTTCTCTTGCTGACGCATCTTTCTGCCCTAGGCTGCTGCTGTTGTTCTTGCGTAGCTTACCGAAGTTTGGATTCCACAGTCCCTTTGGCACATGCGCTTCTTATTTCTAACARCTGTTGGATTTATGTCTGACTTAGGTTTGTTGTTGTYGACATTCAGCCTCAAACAGGAGCAGCAGCTTGGCTTTAGTCCTGAGTAAATTTCTAAGACTTTTTTGCACKAAAGTTCTCCAGTACAGTAACATTTGTAACTGTATTAATATTAGAAGGACAATGCTCCTCATGAAATAGGTAGGGCAGATGCAAAAGGCAAGGCAAAGCAGTTTCCTAGGATGTGGAAACACTGTTGCGACATGGTAGGGAGTTTTACAATCCTATTTTGCAGAAATTATTCTCAGGGACTTTTTTCTCACTTAAAGATTTTTTTATTTTAACCAACAAAACAACTGAAAGATTTCTTCACTGTTGAACTGTGTTAGTGTCGGTTTTGATAATCTGTAAATTACACTAAGGCCAAAGAGAGCGCCTGGTCCGCACAGTGCCAGTGCAAGAGACACCATGCTGAAAGGAAGAAAGCCAAAGGAGAAGTCTACCTCTGTATACACTGGATTGAAAAATGTATTAAACAGTAACAGAGGGAAAAAATAAACAATGTTCACAAAGTTTTCCAGGTTGCAGAATGAAACTGAAGGTGTGATAAACATTGTACATGACAAWGTTCAACCAGTTTGGAATACTAACAGTGAGCAATTGTATGAGACAGAATATTTGGTAAATGCTTCCAAACATGCAAATACTTTCAGTAATTTTTTTCAGGAGATTTAATTTCTTGATACCAGAATTTTCATTTTGCGTATTTCAAGGATAAAAGAAAATTTAAGAAATCAAAAGGTTTTTTTTAAAAATTTTTGTCTTTCTTTTTTTTCTTCAGTGCGCATTAAAAGGAGGAAATAGTGATTCGTGGATGAACCCTTTATCCAAACAGTTTTCAAATATGGGCTTGCTAGTAAGTAAATTTTTTTAAAAAGGAAGTCCAGCTTCGTGAAAAAGCTGTAAGCTTTAAGTCAGAAGATGAGCTGTTTCACAATTATTTATCTGCATTTGCTGTGCTGGCATATTGATCATAATACCTGTAATAACTGGCTCAGAACAGCTCCTCAGAAAAAATCAACTCTGATTCTTCCAGTTACTCTATGATAGCTCTTATTCTGAGGTTGCAATTTCTTTGCAAGTAATAGGTTTGGAATGGGGATGTGTGGTTTTTTGTTTTGTTTATTTTTATTATTGGGGGGTTGTTTTTTGGTGTGAGGTGTTTTTTGTTGTTGCTTTGGTTTGGGGTTTTTTAATTTTATTTTCACAGCATGCTGTCTAGAGCACACGAGATAGAGGTTTCTGCCTGTAGTGTCAGACATCTGTCATTAGTCCAAGGTATTCATTCTGAATCTCCGCCACCTATCAGAAAAGGAGATTTACAGCCTTGTGTCTGTCTTGGCTGAACTTACATTTGAAGTACTATGCAGCAGGGTCTTTTTAGAACAAAAAGGGCTCGTTATGAATCCAAAAGTACAGATTGCTTGGTGAAGTGAATAAATAAATACCACATCATTGAGAAAAAGAGCTGTAGGGAAGTATTTAAAAAATCATTATGTATAATTCTTTTAGGAACTTCTGACAAGCTGATTTGTAAAGTATTTTGCAGACTTTTGTGCCAGTTGTCATCCTGTGAAGCAGGAGTAGTATRTACTGCTGGCTAGCAAAAGATAACAATACTGAGTTTGTGTCAAAAGTTCAGAGCTGCACAAGTTGTCACTGACATGATTAGGATTAGTTTGCAACATCTTTTAGCTCCCTAGCGCTAATTCAGTTTGCTAGATTGTAGATTCTTCTGAAAGCTATGGGAACACCCTGTTCCAGATTGCCAACTGAAGAATCCCATGGCAGCACKTTTCTAGATTTGATGGCATGACAGACAATGAGGATGAGCTATCATTTTGGCCATTATTTTCAGTGCTTTGTCCCTCAACCACTGGAACACAAGGACAGAGGTTAATTTCATGGAGTGGCTCTGTGTCCATCTTTCTCAGTCACAAGCTTTCATGTGTATGGTTTCACATGGGTAAACTTGCCACGCACAGCTTTAGGGGCTTGAGGCAAGGTGTGTTTGGGATGAGTTCAGAAATCCTTGTGTTCAATTTTAGTTTAAGGTAAGACTTTCATTGGCACAAGCATGTTCTTCCTGCATTCCACCTTTCTGAAATACTTCTCAGCATTGCATAGAAGTCAGAACTGAATTGTTTTGTTTTTTACCCCCAGAGTCAAACCGACGACATTCCAGTCAGTAAGATGGACTTGTCTGTAGGTGCGTATGTTTTTATTTCAATGAATTTGAAATGTGAGATCTCGTGTAGCATTTTTATGAGAATGACATGCTGTACTTTGGGAGGGTTTGATCCTTACTTTTAGCACACTTGATAATAGCAGGGTAGAGTAAAAAGTATCCTCTGTCTTGTCTGTAAGCTTTGACTCTAATGTGCAAGATTGGGATGTATACCTCTACAGAGCAGAGCAGGGGCAGAGGCATCTTTTAAGACCCTTTTAATCTTTGTAGTTKGTATTTATTGCTACTGTTCCAAGAAAGTGAAAATCTTCTTCATTTGGTGGAAGAGGACTGTTTTCCCTCATGTCAGTAGGACATCCCATTTACTACAGCTTCCTGGAGGTGATGTGAGGGGGAAGAATTATCTTCTATTATTGTTTTCTTCAGTTGCTTCCCTCAGGCTATTACAAATTACTTTTCTACTTTTTCTAGTAGATTTTATATTCTGGATAGCTTCACCTCAATGACTACAGAGCTTAAGCATCATGGGCTGTGTGGTATCAAAGGTAGAGCTGTGGTAGTCAGGACTTACTTGCATCTAATACCAGTTCTGGATTTAGTATTCTTAYGCAATCTAGACAGATGCAGTGTCTCTCAGCTAAGAATCCATTGCAGTCTTAAAATGTCTATAACACTTCATAGAGGATTCAGTAGTTCTTTTTTTCCAGAATTGAACTTAGTTATGAGATAGGCTTGTTCTTCAACTGGTTTTCAGTCAAGATTACAGCATACCAGGTTTTTCTGGCGGATAACTGGCAGCATATTTTCCTGATTTGCATATAAATCCACAGAGTTAAATTTTTGCTTGGAGACCACCTATGTCAAAGAAAACTTTGGCTTTGGTATGCTTGGAGTACCTTGGCTCTAACCATCATGCACTGTCACCCCGCTGGTCTCAGTCTCCTTGTTTGAAGAGTGTGTTCCCTTCATTTCAAGTRCTAGAGCAATACTTTTATTTACTGACCAAGACAAAAAAGAAATGGATCAATAATATGCCTGTGGCAAATGTACTTCTTTTTCTATCAAATCTCTTTAATAGATAGCTTGTCTACTTTGAAAATAGGATATAACTTCTTTTTCCTATTGAAATATCTWCTGTTCTCTAAGTTCTGAGGTAGGAACTTTGCTACAGTAAAGTAGTTTGTCAGAACCACTTCATATTTTCTATTTTCCTTTCCTCTGTTTGGCAGTCACCTTTGTGTCTTTTTTAATATATTAGTTAAACCCTCTGCAGATCAGGAAATTCTCAAACTGCCTGTAAATAYTGAGAAATTAAGACAAAATTTCTAATTACTCAAATGTAATTCATGCAGCTGGCTATTGTAAATGCAGTACAAAGCTGTAACTTGATGTAGCATTAAGATGAAACCTCAATATCTAAGCACATGTGCTAGCTCAATAGGCTTGCATGATGTTAATTTAAGGCAAAGGTATAAAATCAGTATCTTTAAAATGTTTTTGTGGTCGAGCAGAGAGGGTTTCAAATGGTTTTCTCCATTTGGGTTACCCCAGTGGTTTTATCTATTTTCACCATATGGAGTCTCTTGTTGGCAAATGTTTTGGGTAACTTTGCTCAGCAGCAATTTCTGTCTCCTACTTCCCAATGCAGTATCATATTATATAATTTTGCATGGAATTCAGATTTTTTTYCCTTCTTTTTTGTTTTTAAGCTCTATACATACAGTGGGAGAGATATACTTCAAAGAAGCTTTCCTGCACTAGGGCGTTTATGTCATCTTACAAGCCTTTGTTTGATTTTTCACAGCATTTTTCACAACTGTTAATAGAAAAATCTGTGAACGGATAGGGTCTTCTTTTATGAAGATGGCTGAACTTATGACCTGTTCTATGTTTCTGCATGTGGAGAGTTTGGGGATTCATGTTTATTCATGTACAAGTGTTTTTGCCTACTGCAGAGGGTAGTTCAAACTTTTCAGATTTTAACAGTTGCCTTGTATTACATAAGGTAAAGCTATTCTTTGACAGCCTGCATTATTTATAACTTTAGTTGACAAGTGCAAAAGACAGGACTCACACGAACAGGTTTCAAGGTTGCCTTAGGATTTTCTGTGAATGGGATAAAGGAATGCATTCATCTCTCCCAGTGTGGCCTTTGTTTATATTGAGGTTTAAGCAGCTGCCTCGGCACTAAGTGACATGCATATCTGTACTTGAAGCGTTCAAATGTGCTCTTTTAATGCTCTGTGTGTTTTACAAGGCATCATTCAGTAATGTTTGAGGAGTTGATTGGATCATCAGGATAACCAGAGAGACAGAAGGGTTTTTCTGTGGCTTAGTCATCTTGTGTTGGCATTGACCCAGTTTCATTTCAGACAGTGATGCAACTATTGCCTCGCTTTCAGTTTCTTTTCAAGCAGCTAATGGCCAGTGCTTCCGGTGTGGAATTAAAGCACATGAGCCTTTTGGTAGCACATTGCTGGCATTGTGTGCAGTGGTTTGATGTAGGTATTGCCAGCATTGAGCTGTGTGTGACTTTGCAGAGCCAGCTGTAGTTTTTCAGGATGTGTTAAAAAGCTATCAGAGAATCATGAGCTCATCCAGGTCAGTATGACTCCAGTTACAAGCTAAGATAGGTAGGTGATTTGTCATCTGTTTTGTGATAAATGGTATTGAACACATCTGAGAAGATGAAACTGGATCAACTTTAAAAGCTGTTCGGGTAAGAAAAACCCATGTAATTAGTGGTCAGATTCATAGCTTCTTGGCAGTAGCATAGCTATGAATATTAATACATTGGCATTGGACATTAAGAAGAGATGCTGTATTTGAGCAGCTTTTTCAAGGAACACTGTTTTGAAGGTATTAGAGTGACCATCTGTCTGCTCTGTTTGATAAAGGTTTAGTGTTTTGTCAGTGGTAGGGTAGGTTATCTATCACTAACTTCCTTTGGAAAAGTAATAGATTTTCTTGTTAATTGTACTGACATGTCTTTAAAATGGTTATTGGAAACGCCATCTGTGCTTCTAACTAAACAGTATTCTTTAAATCTAAAAAATACCAGTAAAGCTATCACATCCGTATTTTAAAATGAAGAAGTTTTCCATCTAGTTTGACATAACAGTATTCATCTGATAGCTTACAGGTGCCACATATGACCAAAGAAATTGTTCCTTGGTAGTAGTTCAGTATGTAAKGTAGCTTCTGGTCAGCGCTTGGTTGATGGTAAAGCTTGTAGAGAAAGCTCATGTCTTTTTCACTGTGTTGTTTCAGTTTGGTCATCTGTTACAACATCTCCTCATCCTCTACCAGATTACTTACTAAACAATGGCAAGAGTCTTCAGGGGTGTCTGAGAAGTGTCTCTGTTAGTGGTTGTTATTGTGCACAGGCTGAGGGAGATGGGTTGTCTGTCTGAAGTTACAATATACTAGTTGATCCCTTGTGACTGTGGGAGACTTTTGACTGAATTATGTGCATGTGACCAAATTTTTCGAAGTACCTCAGAGAATTTCTCAATGTCAAACCCCGTAAAGAAGTAGAATAATTCTAAATAGAATGCATAGGGAACTTAAATAGTGGTCTTTCTACATACTGAAGACCTACATGCTGATTTTGGAAGACAGAGAACTAGGTATTGATTACTATAATTAATTTAAATGCATATATTTATATCTGTACATAAATGGTGAGAAATGCTTCACATTAAACTCTGCAATGTAAATTGGTTTGTTCAGTGTTAAATGAAACTTCCTACATTAATTTTTCAACAGTTTTAATACCAGCTGTAGATACGCTAAATTATTAAGACAGATGTAATTTATGCCCTGATCTTAAAGATTATTTCTTTGATTGTGAACTTGCTGTCATGAAACACAGTAGAGATTATTTGCACTAATTTCYTCTTTTTTTACAGGTGGTCTCCCAGATAAGAAGTTTGAGGTAGATAAACGAGCTATGAATCTCGGGGATTTTAATGACATGATGAGAAAGGATCGATCTGGGTTCCGTCCACCTAATTCCAAAGACATGGGAACCACAGAGAGTGGGCCTTATTTTGARAAGGTAAGAGAAGTATCTTTAGATAAATTAATATCAACTTCTATGTTCAAGGTCCCAGTTTTTACCCTACTTCTCTGGAGGTGCTAAAAATTCAATAACCCTGAATGAGCTCAGTAATAAAAGGTATGGGGGAGTTACATTTGTAGACTGAATGTGTGTATAAAACAGGTGTCAGGTGTGCATAGACAAACTAAATTGGGGAGAATGAGGCTTTTTATTCTAGAATAGACTGCTTATGATGTGGATGGAAATTCCTTTTTTTTTTTCCTTTTTGCTTGGAAGGGTAAACTGCTGGTAGCAATGAATTTCATTTTAGGTTTCATCTTGATGATTTTTTTGGCTTCTCACTGCAGTCATCTACTCTAAAAAATTGGTTTAGACCTAAGTAAATATAAGTAATCAAAGTCTTTCACRTTTTTTTCTTCCTTCATGCCTGACATTTATTGGAAATACCCTTTCTAAATTCCATAACCTATTATACTGTATGTCGTGTACTGTAAGCTTCTCTGTATGACATCTGTTTCTCTGTGACATGTCTGTTGTATGTTATGGTAGTGTTTCTTTCATGTTCTTGCCTGTTTTGAAGAGAAGCTTTCACTGTTATTATCAAATATTAATTACTTCACATTATGAATTGGAGAGYGTCCAGTAGATTCAGAATGCTCTGGCAGTGTATTTTTAAAATACAGTTTATCACATGTAATAAGRAAAATAAATTTGGTTTAAAAATTCTGAAGGCGTGTTAACTGTCAAGGAATTTTTTAACTCCTCCGTTTTGGTGTAATAAGCCAAATAACAGTTTTGTCAACTCCCTCAGGTGGCATAATTATTAAATACCATGAGTAAAGCTAATGCATTTCCTAACAAATTATTCTGGTAGGTGTGTGCTAAGATTAGGAATTTATTCAAGATTTATTTGTTTCTGTAGTGGTAAYAGCCACTATCAGAAACTAATTTTGTGAGAGTTCAAAATGAGGTTTTAAAAACAAAACGTAAGAATTTATCAATTATCTCTTTGGACCAAAATCTTAAATGTCAAGTGATCATTTGAATCAGAAATTTTGTCCTTGTAACTGCTATTACAAATTAACTTTGCTTCTTCCTAGTCACTCACCGTCCCTCTTTCTCTCCTCTTGCGTTCTGTTGCTTCACTAACCAACTCCTGCTAACTGCTGCTTCAGCTGACTTTGCCTTTCTCCAATCAAGATGGGTGCCTTGGGGATGAGGCTCCCTGCTCTCCCTTCTCCCCTTCTCCCAGCTACAAGCTGTCTCCCTCTGGTTCCACACTATCCAACGTCGGCCTTGGGGCAATCGGCTCAGGGCTCAGTCCCCAAAACTTCGCTGCTAGACAAGTAAGCAGGCCACCTTATAAGATGCRTTGTAATAAGGCTGCAACCTGGGCTTAATCCTGGTTAGTTGGTTGCTTACATTTGTTTTCCTGCTGAATAGATTAATACTGTTAATGGAAATTTCAGCTGTATCAGGCTATTGAGAATAAGGCCACTTTGGTTTGTAGCCTCAGAAATGTACTCTGTCTGGTTTTGTTGGCCTTTTCCTAAATCACAGTGCAACAGCAGGCAGATGTGCTTTTCAGAAGTCAAGAAGTTAGTGGCAGCCTTTATTTTAATTGCTGGTTTAATACCCAGTTAGAGGCAGTTGATATGCCTCATCAACCCCAACAGTGAATCTTTTCAGACTCTGCTCAATGACCTTGTATGTAGAAATGTGCCTGTAAAAAGTTGCAGTGATTTAGCATTATGCCTGTTCCCTTCTCCCTTCCTCACAGTCCAAAGTAAGGATTGATTTAGTAGCCTTTAAAAACTTTTGAAGTAGCAATATTTTTATGAACAGGAAATGGTGGGGAAGGAATTAAGTGATTAATTGCAGTTTGGAAGAATTTCTGGCTGTTATGTTTTGCATTATTCCTGAAAGAATTGTGTTGGGAATGCTAGGAAATTAAAGAATAGTATCTAATTATTGCAGCTTATGTAGTCACATGCCTAGCATGACGGTGTTTCTTTGTGTTGTCTTTCTGTTTCTATGTAACACAGTGTTGGGCATCATATTAAGTCCAAAATTTGCAGGCATGATGTTGATCTCAGTGTCCAGAACTCTGTAGAGTTATAGAGAGGGCTGAAAGTGTAATGGTAGCTTCGAGGCCTCTCAAAAATTTTAATGTGTAGTTGACTCCACCTGGCTCTTTCCAGAATAAAGCCTCTTGTCTTTTGGGGCTTTTTGTTTGTCTTTCTGTATGCTCAGGAGTTGCTTCTGAAGGAGAAGATACTTTTAGTGAAGGGGGATGCAAGTGAATGAGACAATCTGTAGTGCTGCTGGTATAAAAGCAGGAGGAGAGACTTGTGTTTGAGCAAAAGGATAGCAGAGGATGCACAGTGTTATGGTAGGAGTATTATGCACTGTATTATGGTAGGATTTATGAAATTCTGGTATATAAGGAAAGGAAACTTTTTAGTTATCATTGGAAGAATGATGAATTTACATTGGGTGCAGCATTGCTGCCATGGACAGGCAGAATGGGAAATGATGACTGAGAAGTGGAAAGTACACTCTTGAGAACCTCAGGTTTCTGAGGGTCACAGACATGCTGATCTACAGCAGGAGATGAGAAATTCTTAGGTTCTTGAAACTGAAAGGACAAAATCATGCTCATTAGGGTGCCTTGGAATATGAGCTTCAGCTTTGAGAGAGCAAGAGAGTGTGACCATTAGAGTAGGGACTGTTCATAACATCTGTTGTCACTTTTTTTGAAAAATGGTRCCAAAAAACTCTCCTCAAGAGGCAGAAACTGTGAAACGTAATCACAGATCTTCTTTGGTCTTTTTCATGCATTATTACAGAAGTTGCTTATAAACCAATAAATTCTTCTCATTAAAAAACAGCAAGTATTCTTGTGTTAGAAAATAAATCACTAAAAGAAAATACCCACCTTTTTTTTTTTCACATGAAAATTTTCTTCAAATTTAGTGGGAGAAAAGAGGAAGGAAAATATCCAAATCCTGAATGTTGAAGTTTTCATAGCAGAAGGAAAATGTTAATACTATTTTAGAATTCAAATTTCATTTAGTGAAAGACCTGCAGAGAAAATAATAGCCTTAGGAGTGAAATCTCAACAATTTACTCAGGAGAAGTATCTRTCTTCCCTAAAATTGGGGACCAGAATTTTTGTTGACAGTCTTGCCATACTTTTAAGCTAATGGAATGGAGCAGATAGTTTGTTGTTTGTACTCCAAGTTTCCCTATCCCAATATGTAAAGTGCAAAATATTAAAACATTAGGTTTGTCATGTGCTTTGAAGTAAGTAGATAAGCATGATCCTTCAGTGTTAGAGGAGAAACAACCTGCATCTCAAAAATGTAGTACAATCTTTTTAAYCCAGTAGAATATTACTGGTTTTAGACAAACATTTGTAGTTCTACAGGAACTCTGTTTAAGTCAGATTGGGTCATTGTTACTGAAATGTAGTTACTAGCATAGTAATCCATTATCCTGCAAGATTCATCTTCTCACTACTGCTTTAATTTTATAGGGTGGCAATCATGGTTTGTTTGGAAACAGCACAGCACAATCGAGGGGCATGCACACACCAGTGCAGCCACTAAATCCTTCCCCCAATATCCGGGCTCAAGTGCCTCCCCAATTCCTTTCTCCCCAGGTAAGGAATTTATAGCAACTGATTACTTGTTAAAGTAGAGCTACAGCCTTCAGAGCGCATCACTGAGGTTACTTATACACCTGTCTTAGTCTCAACATGATGTTAAGAAAAATGGAAATACTGAATAAGGTGAAACCATTAAAATTCGTAGTGGAAGTTCATAAAACTCAGTGCAGAAGGATTAGCGTATCTTATTCCAAGGCAGTTGATGGTGAATGCTCGCTACCAGTATTTTTAAACCTCAAAAATGGATTTGGGAATCCTATGTCTTATACAGGCTTTTGCSAAATATTTTTTATAAAACCAAATAAATGTGAAAGCTTAAAGTGTTTCTAAGTGTGACAGGTTGCTTAATTTTTTAAGTAGTCTTGTCCTGTGCTTCCTGTCCCCCCCAAAAGAGAGGTTTAATGAACATGTTACATTTACATTGCAGAACTTAATCTTAGGATCTCAGGGTCTCCAAATGTAMAATTTTACCTTTTGCTTTGGACTTGGTGAGCAATTCTTGAGATTYTCTTGAATTGTACTTGTGTAACTCAAATAATGCAGGGAGAAATGGGGGGATTCTTCTCCACCTACTCCTGTCTTTTACTATATCTTATTCAGGGTATGAAGAGATTAACTCTTTCTGTGAGACACTGTTTCTTTGCTCCAGTGACTGCCTGAATGCCTTTCTTTACCCTTGCCAAGCAGTACATTTTTAATGCGATAATGCAGTACTGTGGTTACTGGTTAGCTGCATATRTATCAGCATTTAAATTTAGTGCAGTCTTCTGCACGTGATTGGTTGGGGGAGGAACCTTTGTGTGTGTGTCTGCATCTGCACATGTAATACTGTATACTGTCAATCAAGTGAGGTATTCATTCTGCCCAAGTTACAGATTGTGCATGTTTAAATGTGATGTGTTAATGAATCTGTATTGTCTTTCCCAGAGCACCATCGAAGACTGGTGTCATAGTTGTTCCTTTATAAAAATACTTCTACTTCATCATCTTTTCCTCATAGCAATGCATTCAGGGTATGTAACTGGTTTCCATGCAGGTTTCGGCCTCCATGCTCAAACAGTTTCCCAACAGTGGCTTGAATCCTGGTCTTTTCAACATGGGCCCCCAGCTTTCTCCACAACAGATTGCCATGCTGAGCCAGCTTCCACAGATTCCCCAGTTTCAATTAGTAAGTAGCTAGTAATCTTGTGAGACAAGACTGTTTACAGACTTCTTATTATGCTTATTCTAATTCTGTTTTATWCTACTGATGTTATTTTTGTACAAGTATTCCCTGTTTGCTGTGCGCGGTAGTAAAGTCTTTGTAGAAGGCAGCAGATAAACCAAATGGGCCTATGTAATTATTGTGGATTGCTGTGGGTTAGTAATGACTCTAAACCATGTTTTTGTACAGAAAGCAGCTGTTTGTTGATTGTAAATGAAGTTTTCTTCAGCCTTGTAGTCATAGTGATGGTAATAAAGTAGGTACGAGTGATTCTGTTACACAATGTTAAATTAGAAACAAGTGAAGGATGTGGTATTCTTCTAATGCGTTCATTGTCATTTTATTTGAGTGAGTGGAATGAGAAAGTTTACCTAAWTTCTGAGCGAGGCATTTGCTAGTGAATAGTTCCTGGCAATTATATTTCACTTGATGAGCTCTGTATTTTCACTCTTTCCGCCCCCACTTACCTTGTAGGCATGTCAGCTCCTCCTTCAGCAGCAGCAGCAGCAACAGCTGTTACAGAGCCAGAGAAAGTTATCTCAAGCTGTGCGACAACAGCAGGAGCAACAGGTGTGTGGCACTGTCTTTGTCAATTATGTGAAGTATAAAGTGTTCTGAAGAAATGCAGTCTACAGTAGAGATGGTGCTGGCTTTAATAATGTTATTTGCTCTCTTCATATTGTACTTTCTGGAGAGCGGGGTCTTTTGGATCTCTTCCAAGTCACAGTTTCTTCATGTTTACAGTAATTTTGTGTTACAGTATAGTATAGATGAACTTTGGTTATTTTTGTTTGCAGATTGCTCGTATGGTGAGTGCCCTCCAGCAGCAGCAGCAGAGGCAGCCTGGCATGAAGCATTCACCATCCCACCCTGTTGGGCCTAAGCCACATTTGGACAGCATGGTACCGAACCCTCTGAATGTGGGTCTCTCAGATTTACAGACCAAAGGGCAAATACCTGGATATGGTTCAGGTGGTAAGTGGTCTGTGGAAGGTTTGTTGCATTGCCTGTAGCTTCCATATTATTAATATGGCAATTATATTAGCCGCTTATGTCTGGGTCCAGAAATGAGTAATTTGTGTATAAGCATTAGAGCAAAGTTTATGAYAGTATCAGCTTCAAATCAAATTGCATTGTTTTTCATTACATGAGAAGAAGACCAATATAAGAAGAAWGCGAATCTTGGCATACTGAGCTAGCACACATCTTTGGAAGATGCCCCTTGAACATACCCTTAGTTGTTGTTGATTTTTTTTTTTTTT